AAAGTAATGTAACTATCTTCAATATCTTGAGGTGTACCCTTTTGGCAAGCTTCGAAATCACTTGAGGCTTGACACCAAGGCTCGGGCTCTTCATCACAAACTCATCCTTGAGTTCTTGATGGGTCTGCTGCACACACCTGCGACACGCCGAACGTTCGACACAGGACAAAATAGAAACCGCGCACGACAAAATAGAAACCGCGCGCGAGACACAAACGACCGCGTAACACGCGTCTAGCGATAACTTGCTATTGACTCGACACACACACTCGACATCATGACTCAACATTCACACACAATTATAAGCATGAAATATATATTATCCCATGCCCTCATACCATTCCATACACACACACATTCACGCACACGGACAACAAGCCGAGTGCAAACCGTAGGGTTGCACCAACAGTAGGGAGGCCTGACAACCTTTTGGGGACCTCTATATTCGAGGGATAAGCAGGAACAGATTACAAGATCCTTCTCTCACTTTCAGGGTCTAGAGGGGAGTAGCACTACTTTCTAGTTTCTGAAACAAATTGTGCAGTAACAAAACCATTTATGGGATTGTTTGGATAAGTGTCTAGACCCTGCCGGCATGAGATAACGTTCAAACAGATGAATCTTGTGAAGTGTCTAGGGGATGAATACAATCCATGGAAGATATATAAGGTTATCGTGGGTCATTTTTCTTTTGATACCAGCTCGAAACCATAGGTTTTTGCTTTCATCCTCCCCTGTGTATGGAAGATTCGAAGTCTCCCTTGCCCATGTATCTTGACGCCTGAACGTTGCAGGATCATGTTATGAGGCTAATGTGGAGAGGTTGGAGGCAGAACCCGGTACCCAGGAGGCCGCCACAGTAAGTATGCTCGATGTACTGGGTTGTTTATTAGGGACCCTGAACCCTAGCAAATCCTGTTGATGTGTGGCAGAGAATCATGACTCTTGAGACCTGTGGGACACAAATGACCCTTGGATAGACATAGTTGGAGCTCATTATTTTATTTCCACCTTTTGTTAAACCACTGGTCCAAGAAAATATCGAGTGAAGACAAGCCGGCAATCCGAGTATCAACTGGCTGGAATCAAGTGGATCTTGACAAGCCAAGACCCGACTTGTTAGCTCATTGTTACCCAATCCTAAACCGGTTGCCCGTGAATCTCTCTTACAAAAGGCTGCCCGTGACTCTCTCTTCTTTTAATCCGGAAGCAGATTACCTTCACTGCACTAGCTTGTTTGTACCCAGAGGAGAAACTCAAAATGCAAATCCAAAGCGAATGCCCATATCAACCCGAAGCAGCATATCACCACAACCGCGTGGGGTCTAGCAGACGGTGGTAAGCCATACGTGCTTGCTTAAGCTTGACTGACTTGTCTTGAAATACGCTGGCTTGTCATGCCATTGCCTACTCTTCAATCTTAAGGAGTCATTCATGCCTCGCTGAGGACTTTTCTGATGATGGAAAATGCTGGTCGCGACAAACCTGGACCCTTCGTCATGAGGCTTCCTGGGATAGTGGCAGAATAAGATCATAGATTAAACAGACGGGACATGGCAACCAAAGAAAGGATAATGCCCAGCCCAAATCCTCTCAATCCCGTCTTGGCCATGTCTGGCCACAGAGGCATTAACCAGACCGACCTAGATACAGCTCTTTCTCTTACTCATTTTGAAAATGAATACGGGTCTCACATACTTTCTACCAAGGGTAGCACAAGTACCGCTTGAGAAACCACATTCTGACCATGATTGCGCGAGAATGAGACACAACCATAGGGCCAGGCAAAGGCCAACAAGGTGCATTAGAACGGAGAATAGGTCCGAACCAAGGCCAACCTTCTTACCTATGGAGTAGAAATTCAGACTTCGGACAACGGCTGGCTTGCTGCTATGAGGTCATGTACTGTGTCTGCCATGCCACGGCCCAAGGCGGGCATGTTTGAAGTCATGTCCACACGAATTTCGCTGGCACAATTCTCATTGTCGCGGCTTTGGTTGGGAGATCCCAATTTCGCACAGATTAGTGAGAAGCTTCAGCATGTCACCATGTGATGGACCTCCCATAGCCTTATGAGAAACCAACCCGTTGCCGCTCTGATGTGCCTAAATGGCCCTAGCGGGCTGGCACGGCTCTCCTTGCGCATGCCCAAAGGAAACCGGAAAGCTGCTTGATGTTGCAGTTGAAGGATTGAATCAGAGCTATCCAAACGAAAGGTTAAGCAACCCAACCCAGCCTTGCTGTGGTGGACCTCCCACAGCCTTGTTGTGAAACCAACCCATTACCGCTCTGATGGACCTTGATGGTGCTGGCGGGCTGGTCCGGCTCTCCTTGCTCATACCGAATCAAACCAAAATCAATCCCTAAGCAGTAATTGAAGGAATGAATCAGAGCCGGCCAAGCCAAAGGTAAAGTTTCAATAAGACCTCCTTCATACTGACAGGTATTTAAGGCTGCCCATGTTGCTGATGGTAGATGGAATAGACCCTGCCAATTTGTTATGTGATAGCTCCCTGATGGTACATACATGCAAGGGGTTCCATCCAAGAAAAGAGAGGGATAGAGTAAGTAGTTGGGGTGAGACAGAAGTGTTGGAGTTCGGATAAACCATCAAATTTGAAAAAATAATCATAATAGCTCACACATCCACTCTAATACTCATTCGACAAGCATAATCTGTTTGTCCATGCGCACAAGATTAAAATTTTGGGGACTCCGCTCGGGGGGCTTGACCCCCTAGGGTTTCCCTATTCTTGGAATAAAAGACATAAGAAAGAACAAATTGAACTCCAACAGGATTATTTGTGAGACGTCTCTACTGCATATCTCAATAACTTAAAACCAAGTTGTGTAATTACTTTCCGAGGGTGCAACTCTCAACAATGCTGTTTACAAGTAGGAATTGATCTCTTAGGGATAATCAGGCGAGATCATGGTTGCATTAGTTATACCAAGAGGGATTCAGAGGCAAGATTTCCAAGCCGTGGAAGGACTTTGTGCGCTCAAAAGTGATATTGGGGCTGGTTGGATAAGATTTGATGCTCATAACTTCACGGGTGCGCATCTTGTTCGGCTGGGAATTGAGTGGGCGTTCGAACAGATTCACCACCTGAAGAAGGAAATATTTTCAGCCGGCAGCTCTTGCAAGAGAACATTACTTGACTGGGAAAGGCGAGCTCACGATGAAGTTAGGGTTGACCAATTCTGAGGGGTGGTAAAAATGTTCTTGCATCCATGACTTGATTTGGGTATGATGGAACTAATAGAAACTACACCTGGCAGGACTACGTCTTTTCTCTTCACTGCCACCTTGATTTCAGAGGTTCCCACTTTCGACATCCTCGAATGTATGAAAGACTCAGAAGCACCCTCGCCCATGTAACTTGTCGCCTGAAAGCAGGACCATATTTCGAGGCTATGTGGAGATATCAGCGGCGAAAGACCCTGGTACCCTTGAGGTCACCACTGTGAGTGGCGGGCTGGGAAGCCGACACATCACCATGGTCGAGGAAGGTCTCCCTCGCACCTGCTCTGCCAATACTGGTCAGTGCCGTGCACCGTCTCCTTTCCCAGCCCGAAGCTCCAAAGTGCACAGTGATTCAGCCATGTGGGCCAAAGTGTACCTGGATAGCAAACCTTGAGATCCTCCCCGTCTCAGCAACAATCCTCCCCTGCTCAGCTGTCATCACCGCGCTGAGAAAAGGTGTCAGAATCTCCCCACCACTTCAGGAGCACCTTCCACCCCCAATGGATCTCGAGTCGAAGTAGTGCTGGTGCAGATACTCCGTCCTCACGCCCAGCTTCGTGTGCGGCCATCACGAGTTCTTAAGCACGGCCATGGGCTTCAATTGTTCCCGCCACAGATCCGCACACCCGTCGGCCCACTGCTGCCTGCCTCTTGCCTTGAACCCGGATGCATTCGTCCCTCCTAAAATGCACATTCCGCAGTCCCCATTTCCTCCTAGGACCCAGTCGCCATTTTTGCCATCGCCATTGATTGCAGACGAGCAAGCCAAAGCTGCAGCAGACAGCATACTTGTGGAGCAGACGAGGTCGGGCGGCTTCCTCTTAAGCTCAAGCATGCCCACACATGGGTTGGGCGAGGGAGCTTGCTGTTGAGGTTCATATAAGGTGCTTGACGGTGCTCCTGCTGCTGTTGCATCATGCTGGTGGCTGTTATGGTGGATCTTGGTGATGGCGTCTGCCTTTCTCGTGTACTGATGCCCAGATAGCTACCCATGGCTGTCTAGGATTATTGTGTACTATCGGGCTGGATTAGGATGCCAACATCTTGATCCTAACGGGTCCATGCTCTTGTAAGAAATAGATGGTGAGGCTTCTCGCAGGGGTTAAGGTCACTAGACATGAGCATTTGGCCCGACCCGACCCGACCCGATTTGGGCGGGCCAGGCGGGTACCGGGTCGGGTCCGCTCGAGTCTCCCGGGTCGGCAATGAGCTCAGACCAATCCTACCGTCATCCTTCAGCCTATAGTTTGGCAGCTAGTTAAGCTCCTATCATTACTACACTTCACGACCCCGCATGTACCCAACCCAATTTAAGGGATCATTATCCGATTCCGGGTCGGGTAACTATCGGTCAAGACCCGACCCGACCCGATTTCAGGAACCTGGAGGTGCAAAATTACGGTTAGAGTATAATACGGTCCGTTTTATACGCTCGTTTTTTACGCCATTTTTTCAAAAATACGGCCGTTTTTTTGTTAGAGCGTTTTGGTAATAAAAAAAAAAAATCCAGAGCTTCATAAATGATCCAATGTGTGGTCTACATAGAGAACAAACAACTACATGGCTGAAAACTAGTCTAAAATGAGCAACTACAATGCATGCATCCCTCCTCCTCCCTTCCCCTTCTCCCCCTACACCTAAATGATCCAATGTGTGGTCTACATAGAGAACAAACAACTACATGCTGAAAACTAGTCTAAAATGAGCAACTACAATGCATGCATGCCTCCTCCCTCCCTCCCTCCTACTCCACCTACACGTACGCATCCTCCTCGTCTTCTTCATCCTCCTCCTCGTCATCCTCCTCCCCACTGTCACCGTCGCTACAATCCCACGGATTGGGCCCTTTGTTCTTGCGCTTGGCTGGCTCATCGCCCCCGCCACTGCTATCACTGTCGGCCGCCTCCTCCTCTTCCTCCTCCTCATCACGCACCTTCTCTTTCCCCTTGCGGGACGCGCTGGCCTTGTTGGTACCACTTTTCTTTTTCAGGGCTGCGCCCTTCCTCTTCGGAGCCCGCTTGCCAATGCTGCCAAAGGAATCCCAGTCAATGGCACACGGCTCCCCCCCCTCTTCCTCGTCATCCACCTCCGCCTCCACCGGTGGAGGTAGAGCCACGCTGCTGCTGCCCTCCCTCAGCGTTCCATTGCCGAGGTCAGCATAGAGCTTACCTCGGGCCTCTCCCTTTTTGTCAAACGCATCCCGAGCTCGGCGACCAAACGCCACAAATGCCACGTCCGTCATGGACTTGGCGTTCAGCCGGTTGCGGTCTCGGCGTTGGACCCTTGCTAAAGCGGACCAACACCTCTCGACCTCGGATGAGGTCACGGGCTGCGAGAGCACCATGACCGCAAGCTTTTGCAAAGCACGGACCTCACCCCCATACATCTCCCACCACTCAGCATCGGAGAGCCTCCCGCTCTCCACCAAAGTGGTTGCAGCCCACCGCGCATCCACAGACCCCAACCTCCCCTCTCCCTTGTGAAATGCAGCAAGTTGTACCGCTAGCATCGTCCGCGTCTCAACACCCCCCCCCCCTCCTCTGAAACACCTCTTCAGCTCCCGCCATCACCTCGGGATCGTTCCGCACCTCCCCGATGTACTGGTTCTTAGGGCTTAAAAGCCACCCCAAGGCGTGGAGGGAGTTGTGCAGCTGCCCGTCCCATCGCTTGGCTATGATGGACTTCACGGCAGCTAGGAACTCGGGCTTCTCATTGGCGGGAAGCAAACCCGTTCGGTTGGAGAGTTGGGCAGCTGCGCACACAAGGGAGAGCAACCCATTCGTGGTGAGGGACAGAGTCGGGATGGCTGGTTTAGGAATACATTTAAGGGTGTGTGAAAACAATTAACTTACCCGCCGCCGATGCCGCCTCATTCGTCTTGACGGTGGCGTCAAGCATGAGGCCGTAGATGTTGGTGCAACCCTACGGTTTGCACTCGGCTTGTTGTCCGTGTGCGTGAATGTGTGTGTGTATGGAATGGTATGAGGGCATGGGATAATATATATTTCATGCTTATAATTGTGTGTGAATGTTGAGTCATGATGTCGAGTGTGTGTGTCGAGTCAATAGCGAGTTATCGCTAGACGCGTGTTACGCGGTCGTTTGTGTCTCGCGCGCGGTTTCTATTTTGTCGTGCGCGGTTTCTATTTTGTCCTGTGTCGAACGTTCGGCGTGTCGCAGGTGTGTGCAGCAGACCCATCAAGAACTCAAGGATGAGTTTGTGATGAAGAGCCCGAGCCTTGGTGTCAAGCCTCAAGTGATTTCGAAGCTTGCCAAAAGGGTACACCTCAAGATATTGAAGATAGTTACATTACTTTGTGTAGTGTAACATTTCACTTGGTGTAGGCCCTAGTGAAGGGTAGTTTCGAGACCCTTCGTGGTTGGGGACAGTGTGGCACTGTTCCACATCACTGTACCTCGGCTCTTGGGGTTTGTAGGAGCTGGGAGTCATTCCCAACTCGTAACTCTTCCTATCTTGTGTTCTAAGACTATAGTGGCTGCCATAGTACCGTTCGTTCAAACCGACGCTGTGTCGTCAATTCTTTATCAAATCGTGCAATCTAAATTGATAATTGTAGACGACGTGAAGACGCTCCATATCCAATTTGAATCAAGTCATTTGCAGCTGTGAGCAGAACGCTATCAACGTTTGAAGCCGCTGTGCAGAAATCCGTCTGTGCTCTCTATCTTTCGTTTTAGGCACATTCAAGCCTATTGTGACTATAACAAGTGGTATCAGAGCCCCTTTGAGCAGTTTCGACAATTTCTGGACCTGAGGAAAGGGGTGGCAGAGGTGCTGGTGGCAGTGGAGAAGCTCAAGCTCAAGGCCAACCCCGTGATTCAGCCATGGCGCCCATGCAACCAAGTCTTGGCCCACCTAGGGATGAGCCTAGGGTGTTTGGGCTTGACAAGTTCAACGGTGACAACTTTGCTGAATGGTCCTTCAAGATGGAGAACATCTTTGACCACTATGACCTGCTGGAGGTGATGGAAGGAACGGAGAAGCGCCCCGAGAACGACCCGGAGAAGAGCCCGTGGGTGTGGAAGAGCGCACAAGGCTATCTCCTACTTGGGCAAGCGTTGGGGAGCAGTCAGATCCGTCACATCAAGCCATTCCAGCGTGAACCAGAGAAAGGACCAAAGGCATGGGCTGCTCTCAAGGGTGTACATGCTCCTGCAACAGCGGCGGTAGCGGTGGTGTTGGAACGGCAAATGGCGGCACTACGAATTGAAGAAGACGAAGCGGTTGAAGAAGGGGTGCAGAAATTCTTCGACTTGTTGACGCGGCTTGAGGGAGCTGATTTGAACTACAGTGAGCTCCAAAAGAAGACCAAGTTGCTGGCCTTACTCCCCGAGTCGTGGTCCTCGCTCATCATCAACCTTAATCGCGACTTGCCCCGCCTCTCGCTTGAAGACGTGAAGCGAGCTATCCTTCAAGAGGATTTCCGCCGCCGTGAGTTGGCGAGTGCGGATGGCGCTGGGGCAGCGAGCATCGGCCGTGGATATGGTCGAGGAAGAGGCAGAGGACGAAGGGGAGGAAGGTTTGGTGGCAGCAACTTCGGCGGAGGCCGCAGGAGTGGCGGTTACGGCAGCGACGACAAGAGCTACGGACGCGGTCGCGGCCGATTCGACGGCGAGTGTCACTATTGCCACAAGAGCGGACACATGTGGCGCGACTGCTACAAACTCCCTGATGGTTGGACCCCTGCTCAAGGCCAAGAGGGTAGAGGAGCAGGAGGAGGGAGAGGACGAGGCCGTGGAGGCCGTGGCGGTCGCGGTGGCGGAGCTGCAAACATGAAGAGCGGAGACAACGACAAGGACCCGAGCGACGATCGATACCCGGGTCTATTCTACTTCGTGTCGACGCAAGTACCGGCTGGTCCAGAGAAGGATGAAGGCTTTGAGGAGCCAGCAGCTGTGGGGAAGGTGACCCTACACCCCCTGGACTATTGGGTGATTGATAGTGGCGCTACCTATAGCATGACACCTCGCCCGGACTTGCTCACCGAACTCGAGCCGTCACCGGTGAAGCATGTCACATCGGCTTTGGGGCAGCGAGCAGAGGTGAAAGGCATGGGCAAGGCCATGTTCAAGGGTGCTGATGGGAAGATGGTGGGCCTCAAGAACGTGCTTTGGGTGCCCAGCCTTGCTGCAAACCTGATTTCCGTGCGGCGGTTGGCAAAGGCCGGCATGGACACGAACTCGAAGGGAGCCAAGACCTACACCGCAAGGCTTGGCGATCGAATTCTTTGGGACCTTCATGAGGACAGGGATGTCTACAACGAGATGTGGCAGATCCCAGTGGTCCCTATGCCTAAGGAGAGGCAAGTGGCAGCAAGCATCAGCACCAAGGATGGAGCGGTCGGTAGCGACGATGGCGCGAACGGTCGCGCTAAGGAGAATGAGCTCAAGAAGAGCAAACCTGGAGGGACCAGCAAGTTCAGTGAACCTAAGGAGAGTGGTGCAGCAACCAAGGAGCAGCAAAAGGGTGAGGAGAACCCAGAGGCAGCAGCGGAGGAGGACTACGGAGAGAGTATGTGGGGCGCTATTGCGAGCGCGGCATTCTCCAATCCAACTTCGGCTACGGGGGAGTGTGATTGGCTCACCTTGCATCGGCGCATGGGGCATGTGGCCCTGCCCATCTTGCAGCAGCTAGTGAAGAATGAGATGGTTGCTGGCATACGTGTGAAGGGGGAGCCCGATGAGGTGCTTGGCTGCCCGACGTGCATTCAAGCCAAGTTCACCCGGTTTCCGTTCCCTAGTTCGGAGGCAACGGCAAAGGCACCACTTGATGAGGTGGTGATGGACGTGGTGGGCCCCCTGAAGCTTGGAGCTGCTGGAGCCGAGTATTTTCTCACCATTGTCGACGTCTACACCCGCATGACTTGGGTGTACGTGCTGGCCAAGAAGAGCGACGTGGCTGAAACGTTGAAGACGGATTGGTTCCCGATGGTGGAGCGGCAACAAGACCGTCTAGTCAAGTCAATCCGCACCGGTCGAGGGGGAGAGTTCCTGAGCAAGGAGTTTGGGTTGTGGCTGAAGAAGAATGGTATTCGGCACTCCCTCACCATGCCATACTCCCCTGCAATGAACGGCATCGCCGAGCGAGCGAACCGCACAATCACGGAGGCGGCACGCGGGTTGCTCATTGAAGCCGGGCTACCCGACTATTTCTGGCCTGATGCGGTGCGGAGCGCGTGTGTGGCCAAGAACAGAGCCTTGACTCATGTGGGAGCAGACAAATGGGTGCCCTATGTGGAGTGGCTAGGAAGGAAGCCAAAGGTGGATATGCTTCGGGTGTTCGGGTGCATGTGCATGGCGCTCGTGCCTAAGCATCTTCGGCACAACAAGCTTGGTGCCAAGGCGGTGTGGGCCGTGCACTTGGGCATGGCTCAAAATAGCAAGGGATGGCTTCTTTGGGACCCATTCACCAAGAAGTTCTTGGTGAGCAGGGACTGCAAGTTCATGGAGAACTTCATGTACAAGGATTGGAAGGCGGAGAATGAGGCGAAGATAGGCGTGCGGTTTGGGGAGGTGAAGAGTTCCGGTTTGGAGCATGTGGAGCTGCCTTTGGAGCTGAGCAGCGGCAGCACAACCACAAGGCAATCCTCCCTTGTGAATGGGGGAGAGGAGGCCAATGATGCAGAGGAAGAAGAGGAGGAGGTGCAGCAAGTGAGCGAGCGTGCACCGTCACTCCCTTCCCGTACTACGAGTGCTCCACGGATTCGAGCCACACCGCAGCAACGCCAAGGCCTTCAAGTCCCTGCAGCTGAGGAGGAAGGAAGGGGGAAGAGGAGAGTTCAACCCCCTAATAGGCTGACCTATGATGCGCCGGGAAAGCAGGGCAAGACAGCCCTGGCCGGAGCGGCAATGATGGTCGGAGACGACGAGGAGAGTGACTACGAGGAGTGTGCCTTCGCGTTCTTCTCTCCGGTGGAGATGCCGGGAGAACCAGCAACTCTCAAGGAGGCTTTGGAGAGTAGTGATGCTGAGAAGTGGAAGAAAGCCATGGAGAGTGAGCTGAAGAGCATCGAGGAGAATGACACGTTTGAATTGGTGGAGCTACCGGAGGGGCGTATGGCGATAACGTCCAAGTGGCTCTTCAAAATCAAGTCGGATGCCGACGGCAAGATCGAGCGCTACAAGTCTAGGCTTGTAGCCAAGGGGTACCAGCAGAAGGAGAAGGTGGACTTCAAGGAGCTGTTTGCCCCTGTGGTGAAGCCGACGACGCTGCGAACCCTATTCGCGGGAGCCGCCATCAAAGGATGGGTAGTAAAGCAAATGGACATCGTAACGGCATTCCTTAACGGCATCCTTGAGGAGGAGATTTTTATGGCGCAGCCAGAGGGGTTTGATGATGGTAGTGGCAGAGTGTGGAAGCTGAAGAAGGCCCTCTATGGGCTGAAGCAGGCCCCTAGGCAATGGTACATGAAGCTGCGCGAAGTGTTGGAGGGGATCGGCTTCACTCCCTCAACGGCCGATCACTCCTTGTTCATGCTTGGCGAGGGGGAGCAGAGGAGTTTCATGGTGGTTTATGTGGATGACATCCTCATTTTCTCACCCTCTTCTGACCTTGTGAAGGAGGTGATGCTGAAGCTTCAAGACAAGTTCAAGTGCAAGGCCCTTGGTGACGTGAGCTTCTACCTTGGGCTCCACATCGAACGAGATGTGGAGAAGCGGTGCATGCGGGTGCATCAACGAAAGTACCTGGAGGCATTGGCTGCCAACTTTGGGCAGAGTGAAGGCCATGTGGCTACACCTTTTCCGTCTGGGTTCAAGTGTGTGAAGGGACCAGAGGAGGAGAGCGTTGGTGAAGAGGAGAGGCGCCGATTTCACTCGTTGGTGGGCAGCCTCATGTATGCGGCGGTAAACACCCGACCGGACGTCGCGTTTGCTAC